TTTCCCTCTCTTTTTAACTGTGCGCGTCGCTTCTTTTTTTTTCTTTTTTCATTTACTGCATCCCTGGACCTGCAATCGAGCGAAAGTTAATCCTTTGTGGTGGGGCATCCCGTCGGCGTCACTGACGGCCCTTATTATTAACTCTCCGCGACTTTAGGAAGAATAGTCGTCTGGTAGAACACTATTATAGTCACTTGACGATCGACTGTGAAAAAGGACCCTTCCGGGTCCTCGTCGTTCCGTTTCACCCTTCTCATCCTGAAATGGCCCCCTTGACGTCAACCGTTTTCTCTCTCTCTCTCTCTCTCTCTCTCTCTTACGTTCTTTCGAGGATCGAACCACTATCATGTGTGCTATTCGATTGTTGCACATAAAACAATCGACCAACGATTTTGTGAATTTCATTATAGTTTCATGAATTGACTCGACAGACGAAAGGTCACTGTTCCAACGGTGGAAGGGAATCGTGCTTACGTACCTAATTGTATCTTCATAAATTATGTTTAAGAAATACGAAATATTTCTTTAAAAAATGATTTGCTACATTATTTTTAACGCCCAGTGTGATGTGTACATCATATCTAGAATATCATATTTCCAGGGATTTTGTGGGAACATGACGTTCTAAATTTATGTTGGACAAATTTTTAAGAATTATTAGGTTTTATTGTGATGAAGTAATTAAACTTGCGATTATTTGACAAAGGTGAATTACTTTGATCAAAAACATTCACTTTAAGATACTATGCAAATGTAAGGTAATTAGAATAATACACAGAGGTGTGCAAATTACTAGATTAAAACTCTAAAAAAAGAGCAGAATATATGAATAAATGTTTTGAATTAATGTATTTCGTGGGTACGGTTTCACTTATGCTTTGTTGCGACCCAACGCAGGTAGTCGACGGTCGCGTCTTGGGCCGTCGATACAGTCATCAAACGGTCATAAACGGGGTTTCCTGGGCAACTGCACATCACGTGCAAAACATTCGCTATCCTAAGACTATTGTTTTATTGTATTTCGGCGCTGATTTCCAGGAATCAAATAATACATACACTGAGCCCTACTTCTTCCACCTCGTACGACCATTTCTTCCACAACCTACACCAACCAAAATCACGATTTTTCCACCAATTACAAGTCGATCCTTTGGAACAAGCGTTCACGCATTCAGTCATTCATCAGTACGCGCTTAACCGTCAAACATAACACATCGGTCAGCCAGAACGCAACTAGTGCACACATTTTTAAAGCGATATTAAAGTTTAAGTGTATTACAAAGTCGTCGAGTAGTAAATTCGTTTAATATTTTTTGGTGATCAGTATGTTTATCGTAACTTAACACGCTCTTCATTGAAATCTACAATTCACTCTTGAAAGTGCAACGAGGTTTCAACTGAATCGAGTAGATCAACAAAGGCTAAGCCTCAAACAAGAATACAGGCGCGAATAACGATCCCAAGTGCTCGAGAAACAACCACGAAATAGAATCTAGTCCTCGAAGGAAAGAGAGACGACAGACAAGGAGAACAAAAACTCTTGACGTATACTCAAATAGATTTTTTTTTTCGTGCTTCTACACAGAGCCAGTAACATTCTCGTCTAATCCTACCTAATCACTAGACTGCGGATTTTATTAATATTCCTTTACGTGGACATAAGTAAACCTTTAATATAAGAAACAAATCTCTCAACACCCTCTGTACTCCCCTGAAAAACTCCGAAATCATAATTCCACAATATACATACAGTGACTCAGGCATTCGTTCACAGACTTCTGAAATAACAATTAGGTGTCATAACTTTTATCACCCTTTTGGTAATCAATTTTTCTTAATTTTTAAATGAAATTCGCATTTTCGTAAATAATTTAGTCAAATAGAGGCGATAGCCTTTGTGAACAAACTTGTGATTCAACATATGCATACCTACTTCTCCCCAATTAATTAACTTCCAAACGTTCTTCAACTACCGGTTCACTACCGGTCCCCAACATTTTAATCACCGGCACAGAAATCTGGACCAGGATCTACAGTAATACATCAATAAATGTTCAAAGGCTCCTCTGCACTGAACATTAAATATTTCGTAAAGTAATGGCCATATGCGGCTGAAACAAACAATCATTAGCTTCCAAATTCCAAGCTCTATTACTGAACTAAACCTCATTAACAATTCAACTTTACACCTGAGGACCTCTCCTTGTCAGTGCCGGGGAGCCTTCGAGCAATTATCGTTGATTCACTGTATATCATTCCTCCCTAGACTGATCGTATTCACCTAATCAATCTTTGGAAATCAGGCTCGACAATCCATCTTCCATTAAAACAATAATCAAGCTGACTCTTGGGTCCCTGAATCGATCTTAGAGGCTCCGTTTTACGGTGCACGCTCTCGTCTGGGAGACATCGTGGCTTCCGGTCAAGAGAGAATGTATGTGTCCCCTAATGGTGCACGGTGTCACTGTGGTCACTCGGTATAATAAGTGTGCCGCGGGAATAAATCGAGTACCGGCTTTGATCGACGTTTATCTCCACTCATCTCTCTCTTTCTCTCTCTCTCTCTCTCTGTCTCTCATCCACTCAGACCTGTCTTCTCGTCCCCGATCGTCTTTTCTCTGGCCAGCCCTCCACCCCCAGTTCGCTCAGTTCTCTCGTCACCGACGAACATCGAGGCCCCGGTTTAACAACTATCTATATACTAAAAGCACCAAGAATATTCCTCTAACGAAAAAGAAACCACACGCATCTACACGGTTGTTGAAAGCACACGAAGTTTCTCACCCCGTCGTCCACATGTGTGTTCTCCTCTACACGCAACTGCGTAGGATGCGTCGTCGTGAGGGACGCGTTTTCTGGCGTGGCGTGGCGGTT